AACCATTTTATTGCATTCTTATAGGTGGTAGTTTTTATATTTTGGTGAAAGAAATCTATTTATTTATCAATAGAGTTGCCCAAATGCGAGACCAAGATGAGTCTTGCTCTTGCGTACCCAGTTTTAGTCTTGGTCTTGGTCTTGCGCAAGAGTCTCGCAACGGTCTTGCGGTTACCTATCAGCTTATTACTATAGAGATTTTTTAGATAGAAGAAAACTAACTAATCCCGAATGAAAAATTAGAGGAGTTAAATGCCAAAGTATATTGGTTAAACAAATTCTTTACATACATTAACTAAAATTGTTATACAGTAACTAATTGTTAACAATTAGGCGGCCTTGGTCTTGGTGCAAGACCAAGACCGATTTTACGCAACACTGTTTATCATAAATTAATTATTTCCACTATGAAACTTGATGAATTATAATTTAGCTGAATTTAATTACTTTCACAGGGTCGAAACTTGTTGCACCTTATGACAGACGTCTTGTTTTTTTCAGCTCCAGCCCGTCTCTAGATACATAATCTTCTTTGTTTACGGCTTTGTTCTTGTATATATATATACAGAGTTTGTCAAAGGCTTAAGCCACGTCACAAACATAGACTTACCTTCATTAGTATTCAAATACTGGACAACACTGTTGTTGGCATTTGGTAAAAGGTAATGAGCAGAATCCTTATTGATGTTCATGTAGAATATGTATTCTGTCATACATCTTTTACGGTTATTTTAATATAGATAATAATTATAACTCTGTTGGAAAATACCTTTTCAACAACATATAAGAGGGCGAGCTAACAAGTCTGTACAAACGAAATAAGTAAAATATATATATATATATATATATATATATATATATATACACATATATTCTTATATATCTAACTGAAGTTATTAGGAAGGTATATTAACTTACTCGGTGGAACTTTTTACTTATTTCGTTTGTACAGACTTGTTAGCTCGCCCTCTTATATGTTGTTGAAAATCTATTTTCCAACAGAGTTATAATTATTATCTATATTAAAATAACCGTAAAAGATGTATGACAGAATACATATTCTACATGAACATCAATAAGGATTCTGCTCATTACCTTTTGCCAAATGCCAACAACAGTGCTGTCTAGTATTTGAACACTAATGAAGGTAAGTCTATGTTTGTGACGTGGGTTAAGCCTTTGACAAACTCTGCCACCAAGGACTTCTTTTTAGACGGAAGTCGAAGTTTCCTCATACTTTTTATATCATATACTTATTTCTTTACAAAGATCAGACATCTATGCTCCCAATTAAAGCGATATAAATCCTTGTTACCATGTATGAAAGCTGTTAAGCATTACCGTATATATCGACATGTCCTTTGACTGATACAAACTTTTAAAAATAAAATTACACCATGGAAACTCAGTATAAAAATCATTTGCTCACTTGTATTTTTATGGTCAGCAAACCAATTTTCCAGAACCAAATAAATATAGACCGAATCTTCGTGCAATCAAAATTTAAAAAAGTGCAGCAAAACGCTCCAACTGTGCAAAATCGTGTTGTAAAAACCAAAAAATATGTAAAGTTGAGCTATTCACAGCTAAAACGTCCAAAAATGTTTGTTTAATTTGTTATGTTAATACATCGAAATCTGACCAAACCTTTAAGCTTCTGAAATAAAATAATTTGTAACGAAAAAAAAATACAATATTGAAAATGAAATTCTTTTAGAATTTTTAGGAGACTTTATAAATACTCTGTAATATGTATTTGTGATTCTCAAATGTTCAAATATTATTGTATATACTGCTTTTCGATATTAAAAATATTTTTAGGGCCTATGCTGTTTCTAAAAAAAATAAAAAAAGATCAAATTCTTTAATAGAAATAATTTTTCATGTCTATTTTACAATGAGGGTCTATCTGTGATATCCTATCATACCCGATTGATTTTTCAAGAGTCGTACACAGCTTTCCCATCAAATTTCAAATTGGAGTTAGATTAGGAGATCCTAGATCTCTTTTCCTCGATCGAAATACAACTTTCGACATAATTAATTTTGTTTATTGGTAATAATGAAATTCCTAAAATTCACTTCAAAACCGAAAAGGGTATTAAAAGGATGAAGAATGTCTGAGAATTAAGTCAATACAATAAAAATATAAATATGTATTTCTAATTAAAAAAAGTTTTTATTGTTATCTACTACATTAGGGAAGTTCTATTTCAAAAGTATTCCCCATTTCTGTTCATTTCTTTCATTTGTAACGTTTAATTCGAACGATTGCTAGTCACAGAAATATTTACCTTTGTCATATTTTTTTTTATCTTAAGTTATAAATTTAATATAGACAATACAGTAAAAAAAAAAGGAGGTAATTATACACACAAACATATATATCTATATTTAGAAATCAAAAATATCCCATCTAGCACAAAACGTGCAATTTCGTGCTTTATCAAATTTCAATATGTTATTCTACCGATCGTGAAACGGATAGATATTCAGGTTTGAAGTTTTTAAGTGCAAGATATTAAAATGTGCAATAACATGGAAATCTGGTTTCTACTAATGAAAATGTAGTTCTGATAAGCAAAAGTAGAATATGGGACTTTTAAATGTAAGACTTTAAGCTAAACAAAAAATAAATAAATAAAACGTGAACCAAACTTAAGTTCTTCTACAATGAAAACCAAATTTTTTAATTTTTAAAAACTACAGAATTCCTTTCTTTCCTTGACAAATTTATGAAGTTAAAGTTTATAGTTTATAGCGTAGTTCTCTTAAATATTTTTCGCATGTATCGAAAAGGATTACAACAGGAAAGTCTGTTTATATATTCAATACGGATATTTTATAAAATGGAAAGAACTGAAGTTTGATTAATTTTTTGCTAGTTAGGTCTTAGTTTTATGGACAGAAGGCAATGAAAATTCCATTTTAGTACATTTTACAACAAAAAAGATAATATTAAACAAATAAATAAAATCGTATAGATTTAATTCACTTCGACAAACTTTCTTATTTATATAAGATATATTTTTACTCTCACTTACCTATATATGTAATATATAGTAAGGGTAAGTATTGCGATCGTGAAAATTACACATTTTGAGGTACCCTGAGTCCAAATAACCAAGTCCCGAAAAATGGTCTGTGTGTATGTGAACACTAACTCGAAAAGGAAAAGTCGTACAAAACTGATATTACGTATTTAAGATAGGTATATGCCTTGTATGCCCTAGCAACTTTTTCCTTAAAATCTGCTATCCGGAAGTGCCACTTTATATCAACGCTGAAACACATTTTTTATAATTTTCTCAAAAACGGCTCAAATGATTTTGATTGAACTCGGTGTATCATTGTGTAATTAAGTGGTCTTTAATATTACTTAGGTCTTATACACGTTGGTGTTACTTTACAGGACTTAAATGCCCAATGTTCATAAACGTTTTCCTCTGAAGTACCTTTAATATGGTTCATTTCAAATAATTAACTACCTCTCATTATTGAAAGTTACAAAAAAATCCTAAATATAACTTTTTGGAAGAATTTGATAATTAAATAAAGGAGGAAAAAACAAAAATACTTATCCAGGTTGAAAATGAATATTCGAAAATAATAGAAGGTATACGTATAATGTATCGTTGGAAAGCGGAGAATTAAAAAAAACAATATATAATATAGAATGTTGTAGAAGATAATAATTTCTAAAAACTAACATTATTTAACGTAAATCAGATGTTAAGAAATTTTCTTACTAAATGTAAACTTTAAAATTATTATTAAGTTTGAAAAAGCATTTAAAACCTACGGATTCAAGGCAATGGCATTGTTTAATATACTATTTCATTGTACTTGTGTGAAAGAAGAAGTGAAATATAAAAATATTGCATGGATACGTTTATAACCTTAAATATATTTACTGTAGTTTAATAACTTTAGAGCTGATATTATATTTAAATAATTCTGTGGCTATCATCCGTTTATTCCGAAAAACAATCATGTAAAGTTTAAAAAAATTAAATTAATGAATAATTTGATAATTTTTCCCTTTGCGATATTCCAAAAGAATCCACTTACAATCAGTGTGACAACTTTTGACCTGTCTATGACAGACAATGCAAATCTCTTAATTCCGTTTTAGTAAACTTTCCAATGTAAAATAACAGTTTAATAACTAATAGTCGTACAATCCATAATCGATGGATCGTACAATCCATAATCAACGAATCGTACAATCCATATAATGAACCAGTGATATAATGAATAGAACTTTTGTTATTTTAATAGTATTTACGATTTGTTAGCTGTAATCTTCTAGCTTCAGCCCAGGTAAAAATGCAATTAAAAAATTTTATAATAGCCTAACATGGCCAGAAAATAATTTCTATTCAAAGTTGAGCGGTAAGTGAAAGTTGTGTGTTGCGCGCACCAGATCTTTTTTATTATAATTCAATCTTTATTTGATTTAATCTTTAAATTTATTTCAAATATAAAGTATGCAGCTCCGATCCTGTGGTTTAAACAGATTAATGGATTTAAGAGTTGATCATTGCCTACCGTCTAAATGTATATGTTTCTATAGATATGTGTAGATGTTTTTATATCTCTACATTGATAAAAGGTCGGCACAACTAAATAATTTACGATTTTCCACTTTTACATAATCAAAATCAAAAATATGATACTAATTATATAAAATTTACATGTTTTTACCATACTAGATATAAGAGCATAGGACCGAAATTCTAATTCCTAAGTAAAATACTTTTATGTATTTTGTTGCAACATGCTCTCTAGTTTTGTTAGTAAATTACAGTTCTGTAGTCTAGAAGATTTGAATGTTTATTTAAAATAGATAAGGTAATAACACGAAACAAAATCTTATCGAGCTCGAATCAGGAGATGTATTTTGCCTAAGCCAGTTCTATCATGAACAGGGATATTATACCAATTATTGGTGATAGGATACAGAGGCAATTTGGATCAGTTTGCTGGCCTACCGGTTGATGGGGTGTAATTTGTTTCCAATCGCTGGTTGGAGCAGACCCACGCACAGAGGTGCCTCTGGCATTGGCCCTGAAAATCTCTGCCGGGAGGGAGCAGGCGGTCAGGTGGAGTAGATTCGGTTTATCGACTCCCCAAAAAAAGATTGGGTTTTGGCTCGTGGCTAGGTTTTCTGAATTCGTGTTACAATGTCAAGAACAGTATTTCTTCGCTGCCTACGCATTCGGAATAACTATTTGGCTCACCTTAGGAAATAGTTGACGTAAGGTTTATTTTCTAACAACAACCTGTTTAATATTAGTATTTATATGATGTTTTGTATCCATAAGCAAAGTATCAGTAAGCATTCAACGCTGATAACTCAAATCAAAATATGATATAAATTATTCAAGGAAATGACAAATCACTTTGAGTTGTTTTGTATTTTGAAAATCAGTAGTTTTAGTGATTTCGATCCGAAAAATTAATATTGGTTTATTATTTTCAATAATGAACCGTTGTGACCGACCAAAAAATTCAAAAACTTAACCCCCTCTCAAAATTTGAGGTTTCACGTTTCAGGGTGCGTAGAATACGAAAAACGAATAAAACTTTTTTTGTCCGTCCGCACATTTTCTCCGAAACTACTGGACCGATTTTTTTCTAATTTGGATATAAAATCAGAGGTCACCCTAGGATGATCCTCCTTCATCGACATTATTATCCGCCTTTTACTTTCAAAATAGTGGCCGAAAAACCTGCTTGGCTATAGACTGTAGCGCCTAAACGAATGTAGCGATTTCAATGAAACTTCGCTAAAGTCATTTTCTCTACGGGCTTTAAATTTATCTATATAACATACTTCAACGAAAACAAGCTGGGAAAAAATTTACGAGGGATGGTAAAATTGAATTCCGAATAACTCAAAAAGTTTACACTTTTTTGTAGATAGTGTATATAGTTTTTACAAAGTTTACGAAATTTCCTAAAAGCCAAAAAAAAACAAATCGTTAAAATCGGACAATTAGGAGCAAAGATATGGTCTTCGGTTTTTTTTATATGTTCTACTCCAAATGTTATATCCTTTGTTTGGTTTGCAAACTTTGTATGTGTTACTGAAGTAATGCTATTTTTTTCTAGCATATTACTAATGATTAAAAAAAAAAAAAGTTTAGTCCAATAATTGGAACCTTTTATTTATTTTTCTTTGTAACTAGGAAGGTAATGTTACTTTAGATGTGTAATTATTTGGAAATAATAAACCATTGTGGAATAATTTGCAGCGTTTTTTTTTTTTTTTTTGTTTCAGATGCACGTGTATAAATGAAAAGAGTTTAATAAAATAAATAAAAATATTATATCGCTGTTTCAAGGATGTTTTTTTCTTCTGAATTCTAGGAGCGTGTGCAGCGGTGTATTTATTGATGTGAATGATTTATTTTTGTCAAATAAATTAAAACAATCATTTAATAAATATTATAGACCAAGATGAATTCATCGTTGGTTTCTAGAAGTAGTTTTTAAACAAATAGAAGAGAGTATTATAATAAAATAAGTAAGCAATCTTCAACATCTGTTCTTTAATATTCGCAAGATCCTTGGCCCTATATTGACCCAAGGCCCGCACCAAGGTACCGGGAGTGATAGAATCGAGCGCAAATGATTTGATGAATCATCTACGGTATGATTTCATTAGCTTATCTTGCAATTATTTTCCTACCATTCAAGATATTATTCGATGATTAATAGTTCTTCTAAAAGTTTACTTCTATAACATTGCAAGTATAGACCAGGAAAAACTTTAGAAGTTACCTGTCTGATAAAATATCAATTAATACATACGCATTATTTTTAGAATGTAAAAGTCAGGTACCAGAATTTTATTTGTCCCACTCAAGTATCCACACATATATCTGCGGGTACAAAGAGATAGAGTGGATGGAAGCTGCTAAATATAGGATGTTTGTCAGAATACTTGACAAGGGAAAGAATCACAATATTTTTGTGTTAAAAGTTTTATTTTGGAATTTCGAACCTTGAAGACTAAAAAAGAGTTGTAAATTATAGACGGTGTTCAAACACTAAGAGGGAAATCCAATATAAAACAACACTATAAGGTGATTCAGAACACTTACTGGAATAATTCCTGAAGCAACCCATTTTATTTTCACATCACATATTAGTTTTTTTTTTTTTTTTAATTTCTTTATTGAGTATTATAACAATCTGTCTGTTGGACATTGGTTATAGTGAGGTAGGATGACATTCACACCATATGTACAAAAAAATAAAATAAATAGAACAAAATAATAATCAAAAGTATATACAATAGACAATAAAATAAAATAACCTAAAAAATAAGAAAATTAAAACTAAGGAAAAAAAAAAAAAAAACACATGCATACCTATATACAATCAGGCGAGGGAACTCCAGGAGAACCCTGCGCTACTCTCCCAACCGCGTCACTGGTACTAAAGCCAGCGGAGATTGGTCGAGAGCACTTTAGCCACATACACACATGTCTTGAGTGAAGAATCTGGCCATTGCCAGAACTCCAATTTATATAATCTACAAAAGGTCGCGAGGCCACTGCCGTTTCAACCTTCTTGGAGGATTATAGAGATGGGAGATGCTTGATAGGGATTGTGCAAGAGGATTTGGGTGGTAAGTAAGGTTCTGGTGAAATTTGGAGAATTTTTCTGGGATAAGGTCTAGGCCAAATGGGATGTTAAGGTCATGATGTAGGGTTTTGTTGGATACATAGAAAGGAGCATCGACTATTGTTCGAAGGACTTTAGACTGGAAGGATTGGATGCGCTTGATGTTAGAAAATTTTGCTGATCCCCACAGTTCTAGTCCGTAAGTCCAAATAGGTTTCAGTATTGTCTTGTAGATCAGTAGCTTGTTTTCAATGGAAAGTCTAGATTTTCTGCTTAGTAGTCGGTATAGTTGGCCGTATCGTCGGTTGAGTTCTTGTCTTTTGAGTCTAGTATGCGGGTTCCAAGTTAGTCTTCGGTCTAAATGAAAGCCAAGATACCGGACTGTGTCTGAATAAGGAAGCTGGATGGAATTAAAGAGTACTGGTGGACAGGAATTGCGTCGGAGTGTAAAGGTAATATGTTGGCATTTAGATTCATTAACTTTAATGCGCCAGTTATTACACCAGTGCTCAATCAAGGCGAGGTGACTTTGGAGATTTAAGGATGCTATTTCGGGATCAGAGTTGGATGATAAGATTGCGGTGTCGTCAGCGAATGTTGCAAGAAAAGTATCGGGATGAACAGGGATGTCAGCAGTAAACAGGATGTAAAGCACGGGACCCAAGACGCTGCCTTGGGGAACACCGGCTTTAACGGAGTAGATATTGGAAAATTCTGTTCCACAGCGAACTCGAAAGGAGCGGTCAGAGAGGTAGGATCGGAGGACTAGGTACAAGGACTGAGGTAAATGGATTTTAAGCTTGGAGAGCAGTCCGGAGTGCCATACCCGGTCAAATGCCTGTGCAATGTCCAGAAAGGCACCCGAACAGTATTCCTTGTTTTCTAGGGCTGAGGAAATATGATCAACAACTCGGAGTCCTTGTTGAACAGTAGAATGTTGAGAGCGAAAACCAAACTGATGGGAAGGGATATTTTGGGATTCTATAATGGGTAGGATTCGTTTCAAAAGGATCTTTTCAAAAATTTTTGAAAGGATTGGGAGTAGGCTGATTGGTCTATAGGATGTTGAGCTATTGAGAGGTTTTCCTGGTTTTGGGAAAAGGATAATAGTGGAGTGTTTCCATAACAGAGGGAAGTGGGTGGTGCGTAGGATACAATTGTAGATATATGTAAGGAATATGACTGCTTTGGATGGAAGTTGTCGAAGGATTTGAGGTGTAAGGAGATCATGTCCAGGAGCTTTACGGGGGATTAGTTTTTTTAATTAAAATTTTACTTCGGAAGGATGAATAGCTTTTGGGGGCAAGGAAAGTGGGATTGGTGATGTAAGGAGTTCTTCTACTGTTACGGTGTGGGCAGGATGGGATTCCGGATGTGAAATAAATGTATTGGATAGGTGAATGGCGAACTCCTCAGCTTTATCTTCGTCAGATGCTGCCCAGGAGCCATCACATCGTCGGAGAGGATGGGAAATGCGGTGAGGATTTAGGATTTTTGTTGTGGTTTTCCAAAGGGAATTGTCGCGAGAAGAGAGGGAGGATAGGTAGGAGTTGAAGGATTGTGATCTGAAGGTGGCTAATTCCAGTTTTAATTGTTTGCAGTAGTAATTATAGGAGCAGCGGTCGGTAGGATGTCGGGTACGTTGCCATAATAATCTGGCACGGCGTTTGGTGCGGATTAGGTTAAGGAGGTGTTGGGGTAGAATGGTCTTTATAGGAATTCTGGAGGAGTCTTTTGGGAAGGAGGCAGTCCAGGCGGCTTGTTGGATTGTGGTAGTAAAGGAATTTACGGCACTATCAAGGTCATCGGGAGTTTTGAGGGATATGTTGAGATCAATATTATCGGAGATTATTTGGCGGAAAAGGTCCCAGTTTACTGGGCCCCTAATGAATGACGGTGGAGAAGGTTTGGGAACAGGTTCAAGTGAAACATTAAGGATTAGAGGACTATGGTCAGAGGAAAGTTCATTTAGACGTGTAATGGAACAATTGAGGGGACTTAAGCCGCTGTGGATAAAGAAATCAAGAAGATCAGGATTACGGTTGGGATCTGTGGGCCAGTAGGTAGGAGAGTTGGGGGAAAGGAGGTGAAAACGTTGGGAATTGAGTGCAGACAGCAGCGTTCGGCCACGAGAATTCGTGGTTCTGGAACCCCATTGTTGGTGCTTGGCATTTAGGTCTGCACCCAAGATGAAATGATGTCCTAAGGAGTCGAGGAGAGAACTGAATTGGGCATTGGATATGGATCGGTTAGGAGGGCAATACGCTGATGCAAGAGTGACCGGAAAGGAGAAGGTTTTTATCACGATAGCGGTGGACTGTAGGAAATCATGTATTGGTAATGGGAGTACGTGATGGGAGAGGGATTGGTGTACAATTACAGCAGTACCGGCATGTGCTTTTCCGTCAGGGTGGTCAGTACGATATGTCAGGTATTGTGGTATATTGAAGTGCTGTTTAGTGGTTAGTCGAGTTTCAGTAATTAGTGCCACATCAATGTTCTTTTCAAGTAGTAAAGTAGATAGTTCGTCTGTATGATTTCTAACACCATTCGCATTCCAAAGGAGAATGGATATGGGTTTAGGGATGTGAGTCATTTAAGGATTTTTCAAAGGAGGGATGAGGTGAGATACGAGATTCGTGAGGAGTGATATGAGTGGAGTAACAAGGGATTTGAAATCGGTGAGGAAAGATGCTAACAAACTTGTGAGATCTGTTGCATTTGAAGGAGGAGGAATATGTGAAATTTGTTGTTGGTGGTTAGGTATATTAGGATGAAGAGGATTTTGAGGTTGGGTTTGAGGTTGTTGTGGCAGGGCTTGACATTTATCGGTTAAAGTCTTACCTCTAAGTAGTTGGGAGAATGATACATCATTGTTTACAATTCTGGAAGGCTCTCTCTCTCTTCTTGTTCTTAGTGCTTCATATTGAATCCGGTTTTTCTGGTGTCTGGTTTTGAGATTCTTGTAAATTTGGCAGCCTTTGTAGTTCGCCGGGTGTCCCTCCAAGCATAGGGCACATACTGCTGGATCTTGTATAGGTTTGGTGCACTCTACAGATTTGTGCTGTTCACCGCACTTCACGCAACGCGGCAGATGGTGGCAATATGTCTTTGTGTGGCCATAGGTCTGACAATTATGGCACTGCACGATGTCTCTCTTGGGATATGGCTTCTCAACTTTCACCATTGTGTAGTATATTCTTGTGATATCATATATTTTTTCGATACCTGGTGATGGCTCCAAGTCCACGAAAAACAATGGTAGTGGGATCCTATTTCGTAATCCTGGCTGCTCCCTGTCCTCCTTCAAAACGTTTGTTACCTGGCGTACATTGAAACCAAGCGTCGTTAGTTCTTCTTTAATAACTTCAGTGGGGGTTGAGGAATGTAAATTTCTTATCACTACTCGTAAAGCTCTTTCCTGCCTCAGCTGGTAAGTGTGAAAATTCGCATTTGTTTCTGATAAGTACTTCACTATTTTTCGGTAGGCTTCTGCAGAATCAGGAGTTATTTTGGTGTCATTGGTCCTGTTAAGGCATGAATAACTGCCAGAGCAGATTTTATTTAGTTGGGTGCAGAACATCTGGAAATATTTTATATTTTTCACAAATCGGAGGAGGCTTTGGTTCTGTGGGTATTGCTGCAGACTCCATTACTTCTCTGTCATTTTGAAGCACTTGGGAGGGGTTTGGAGTAAAGAAAGGTGATTCTTCAATCGTTTCTTGTGCAGACGTACCTGGTTGGGGCTGAGGTTCTGGTTCTGAAGTGTTCATTTTGGTCACTGGAGGTATTTCTCGTAGGCAGCGACGAGTTCTTTGTTTGGCTGGTGAGCTAACTCCGTCTGACCGAGACCTCTTGGGCACCTTACTGGCCATCACTTGCTGATCATACCGCATATCATAAGAGAAAAATAAATAAATAAATAAAAAAAAAAAAAATTTTTTTTTTTTTTCTTAAAATAACAAAAAAAAAGATGCCAACAGTAAATATCAACTGCTCTGATATACACTTAACTGTATCACGTGAATAATCAGAGAGATTCCGCTATAAAATTGGTAAAAACTGAGAGAGGAGTTGAGGAGACAACCTTCTCATCAGCTGATCCACTGCCTTCTCCACATATTAGTTAAGTACATGATCGTTTCAAGGAGGGACAAGGTAAGGACGCTGCCTCCCCCTCCTCCCTCCCCCCTAACTTTGATGTTGAAAAAAATAGTTACAAATATAGATAACAAATTCCTGAAAAAATTAATGATAACGACAGAGATGGGTGTGAAAATCATTCATCATTCCTACTTTATTATTAACACATTTTTTAAACATACCAATTTTTCACTCAAATTATCAATACCTTATCTAAAATATTTTGTTGTGTACTTTAATACTTTTTGGTATTGCGATATCTTTTAGGTTTTTTTTTTTTTTTTGTAATTGTGATGAAAAGACGGTTTAAGATTTCATCAGGAACGTTATATTCTCCATGTTCTTTTGTCGCTTATCTTCATAAATGATTATTATTATATTTTTTACTGGTTATTGATTTTGTACTAATGGCAAACCAATTATTCTGAACTATGCAGTCAACATCTCCAATGTCATTCTTTCTTTCATATTTGTAAATGATAGAAACAATAGATTATAATAGAACGTCATCAAAGAGTAATCAAAGGTGGAGGTTGAATTATACGTATTTCAGAGATATAAATTTTTATTTATAAATCAGGCATGATTTTTAAATTCAAAATCAAATATATGATAATTACATGATTTTGTGGAAAAAAAAATTATGGATTTCCAACTCTGCTTGTAACATAATGGCATCTAACATATCCTAAATAACATTAGGGTATTAATATCTATAAAAACAATGCAGTAAACAAACATCTGTAACAAACAGATCAATATCGATAATTTTTTTATTTATTTATTTAGAGATATAATAATATGTCACGTGGAGAATAATTATAGTAATATATGAACACATTATATACACATATATACAGAAAATATAAAATTAACAAAAATAAAATAATAATCAAAAACTATGTACAATAAAAAATAAAATAACCTAAAGATAAGTAAATTAGAAACATAAAAACACAGTCATACCTATATACAATCAGACAGGGAACCGCAAGCCAGGCTTCTCCCACCAACTATAGAAGGAAAAGCAGGACTCCAAGAGATCGCGTCTACTCTCTCAACCGCGTCACTGGTGCTGAACCCAGTGGAAATAGATAAATTTAGATTTCTAATTAAGGGCACGTTAGGCATGTAACTTAAAATTGTGATGCGATTTGGAAGACTGTGTATCCCTTTATCGCTGGTTTATTTTTGGACTTTAAGTTCAGACAAGGGTGCAGCTGCTTTGACCAAGTCCACTGCGTTGGTTCGAACGGAACAGATTGACAAGAATAGGAGCAGGTCTTCCACGGTGCGTTTGGAACCACCGACCCAGAACGGGCAGGCACAAAGAAGACCGTCAGTTACCAGAGGCTGAATTTGAAAAAGAAAATTACGGTATTCCATAACAAAACAGTGTTAATTTTATTTTTATTTTATACAATTGTTTAATGCAATCAGCATACTTCTATGTAAAGTAACAATTGCAATTTGATTCGAAAACTGGAAGTAATTGCGAATATCAGTAAATAATAGTAAGAACACTTATGCCCTTAAAATTTGGACACTTTATAGATGTTTACACATCCATTATCACACATATTCGTCCGGTAATTTTCTTATTCTCCATGGTGGTCATCTTTTTATCTCTGTTTAGTAAAAATTAGATTTATTTAGAATTAAAAGAACAAACAAATTAAATTTAGCTCAGAGATTTACAGGTGTCGATGACTTGAAGTTTTACGCCTTACAGCCCCAATGAATAAACAAGAATAAATTGTTTTCTGTATTATGATACAGATGATATGATATTATGATCTGTATGATGATATGACGAATGAAGATTTTTTGTCATTTGTCTGTTGGTGGTTGTTCGCGATAACGAATATTCGTCATGCGGAAGAATATGTGTTAATGGCATTGTATGCCATAAAAATCAACATAAATAAATATCCATGTTTCATAATAAAGGGTAACTTCGGGAACGTCATCAAAGAGTAATCAAAGGTGGAGGTTGAATTATACGTATTAAAGAGTTCAATTAGTCATTACATCCTCAACACCAGGCAATTGTAATATTCTTAGTATTTTACCTTCACACAGTAATTTGTGAACGAATTTCGATCAGCTTGCAAAATACATGCAACTCAAATATTAGTTTAATTTTTTTTTTCTTCTTTTTTTACAGCAACTTATTAATCAAAATTTGTGTCGATATCTTAAATAATCGAACTGAGAATTCTTTAAAATCAGTTCTTATATTTTCTAAATTTCATTTGTAGGAACGATGAGTTTATTACGAGGCTGAATTATGAAGGCTTAATAAATCGTTTTATGGTTTAGCTTTTCTTTTATTTTTTGTAAGTATATTTTCTTTAATAACGCCAGTTATTAAAGTCCATCTCCACTCAATTTTTGTTCTGTCACTCTTCTTCAGCCTGGTCATCAGTAACTGAAAAAGGTACAGACCTGGACAGTATTTCGAATAAAATATTTTAAAATATATTTTTTTGTATTTTGCATTTTAAGAAGTAACATAAGAAATCGATTGTTTGTAATTGTAGTGTTCAGACAGTAGATTGTTTAAATACAAGCAAGTATTTATATTATTTTTTCAAAATACTGCAATACAAACAATATATTTTATTTAATATTTGAAATGCACAAAATAAATTACCAAATAGAGTCGTTTCCCTGTATGACAGGCTTATCGTCCAGTAAGTATTTTGTATTTGTAATTAAAATACAATATATTTTTGGTATTTTCTATATGAAATACATTTTCTGAAAGCAATTTAAATACTTTGTAATTAAAATATTCTGTGTTCGGAAAAAAACAAAATATTTACTTGGTATTTTAAATACTGTATTTAATAATAAAAAACGTTTTGCTGAGGTCTGGTAGAGAGGATGTCAAATACCATTACATTTGCTAAAAATCTGTGAATCAGTACAATTTAATTAAATTAAATTCCAGCATTTTCCAGTTTCTCTTCAAGAACTCCACCTCAATTTTTTTTTTTATTTATTTAATGAAATTTACAACTGTATAAACAATACAACTAGTAAAAATGCATACATTGGGAAAAATTACATGAACAGATTTGAAGAGATACTGCCCAGTGGTAGCATTCCCTATTTAATTCTAGGTGAGAAGATCACAGGCCATCTTCTTTTCAGACGTCTAAGGAGATTATCAGGAATCAAGGAAGAAGCAAGGATGGAAACAAGTGGATTTAGATGGGACTGGAGTTTATCATGAAAGGATAGGTATCTGGCTCAGACTAAATCAGCGGCATTTGGAACATTAAGGTCTTTATGAATGATTTTATTTGTGACAAAATAAGGGGCATTAAGGATTTTACGAAGGATTTTGAATTGCAAGGATTTGATACGATAGGAATTCGAAGGTTTGGTAGAACCCCAAAAGTCAACTCCGTATGTCCATATAGGTCTTATTATGGTTAAATATGATTAAGACGAGTCTTTTGTGATTAATTAAAAGTTTAGTGCGTTTGTCTAGTAAGTGTTGGAGCAGTCACCTTAATTTTAAACAAAAATTATTAAGTGATAACATTTTTCTTGATTTTTTTAACCGATTCGACATAGATGTCTTCGAATTAAAAACATATTGGTGATTGAACTGTTTTGATCTCTTATGCATGTCACTAATTGACTTATATACGACAAATTGAAATAGAACTTATTACAAAAGACAACCAAAGATAAAATAGGTTGAGGTTCGGTCTACCGGGCTCATATGGTCCCAGGTAGAACGTTTGCCTTTCAATGTGGTATCGTATTTCCGTCCCTTCTACCTGTATTATTCTACTGAAAAAAAAAAGTTTTAAAAACGAAAAGCAGAAAATATTTACGAAAAGCTGTGCTAGCAAGAGTACCTACAGTTTTCCATATCGCTTTCCTCACAGTTTTCATCAGTCCTTTCCCTAATTGGTACTGAACCCAAGACACTTCATGGATTGTAATGGTACAGGTTTTTCTCCGTTGAAACTTTCAATAAGCGGCAAATGCAGAGAGAATCACTTTATTATCATAAAAGGGTGCTGCCCAATTACATTGGGTTGCTTTAAACACAGCATACTTATTAATCGCTTCAGACAATTTTCCAAAACTAATATACAATTATATAGTATTAACCACATGTATGAGCATTATATACAATTTTTTTTTTTTTATAAAAAAATAATAACAATCAATGTAGTATCAACAATGTAACGACCATTAAGTATAACCTCTTTCGAAATTCACTAAATACGATTAAAAATATTTTTTACTTTCGGATCTTTTATTTTTTAATTATTATTCGGATCTCGGATTTTTTACTACTTTAACTAAATGGCTTAAAACTTCTTCGGTAAAACACGACCCATTTTTGAAAACCAACGTGTGTAAATCCGACAAGTAGTTTTCGAGGATAGCAGTTACAAACAGAAAACTGTCTGTCTTCCTATTATTAGTACAGTAAATTACACTTGATAATAATAATTTACGACTCATTAAGAAACACAATAAGACACATATAATGAAAATGAACATCTTAAATAGAAATAAGGATGTAGGTATGATGGACTAGCGGAGTTAGCCCTAGGGACTTTTCTTGTGTTTCGTTAATAAATCACCTGACCATGAAATTAGTGATAGGTTCGTTCGTTGTTTAATGGAGTTGTCATAGACTTGTATAAACATTCTTGTGTAAAAATCACTAACTTTAATGATTAGAGATAGCCACACAGTACATAATATGTTAACACAGAGTAGAATGGATAAAGATCTGAAAAGGTGCAAGCAGCTTTCTGTTTGGTAAGTGCAAGAAAATCTATTATAATTTATCACTTGATGTGAGAATTTTACATCTTTCACTCAGACAAAGGTCTGTAACTTGTGCCAAAACGTCCACACATATTAAATATGTTTTCTTATTTGTTCCAATATGGGCACAACTCCGAACAGACTCCTTATCTTTAAGAAGTGATTAACTTTTTTCTCAGCTAAAAAGCAGGGAACACCTGAATAATAATAACAAAGAATTGTAATTCATGGTATAAGATCAAATAATTGCATGAGGTGTCCCTCCAACTTTTATCATCGATTCTTTACTTATTTCAAAGGACCGGATATATCCCATCTCAAATCCTTTGTTTTGTTTGTTGCTATGTTTAGTTATTTATTGTTTACATAAAACAATAAATAACTAAACATAGCATCAATTCATGTTTCATCAGGCATGATTCATCAAGAACTGCATCCAATTCGTCCACCATTACACAAAGTAGAGGAATAGTTTTTTTTTGTACAACCTCTCTCCTTCAATTTCCTACCGTCACATTCTTTTGCAGAAACAAAAGTTGTGCTACTAAGCTGTTCTTACTAATAACCGACTACTCAAAATATTCTTATAGTGACAGGTTTTAAACCAGCAAACACAAAAATTTGAACTTGCATGTCACAGGGACAAATGATCTAAAGTGAACTGATCCTGGTGGTTTTTACAACTAGATTTAACAAGACTTTTACAAATTGATACTTAATATTTTGAAATCGTGTAATAACTTTATTTCTCGGTAAAACAGGAGATAAATGTTCTTTGAAATCGTTCTCCTGGCCTTAACTGAAAGACTTTAAATCTCTGCTGTCAATCCTTAACTGCGTTTTCACTCTCTCTGAAGGAATGCTGTAATTGAAGCTTGGAGTTAAAAGTTAATGATTGTCGTTTAACCTTCTGGTTGTGAAATACAGAACGGGCCAAGAATGCAGCGATAAACTTAATGTTTATTTAAATTTCAATTATGATTGAGGTTATTTGAGTTTTCATAGCTTAATTTGAGAAAATCCTATCATGCGAATTGAATTGTGTACCTGATTAATGGGTCGATAAGCGGAACGAAGGTATAGTCAGCTGTTTTGATTGCACTTGAGCCCTGACGCAAACGCACAAGGTTACCGCTTATTCTGCTCTGATCTTGCATCTGTGCACACTTGAACAAAACTTATTCAACTTTAAAACTTATTTTTACTAATAATAAAATTGTCTGGATTGAATTCCGGCAGTGATACACCATTGATTGAAAGAATATAACTAACTTTTAGTAACCTCTCCATTTTACGCACCGAATCGATTGCCGACATGATGCTTCATGGCTTACAAAGCGCTCAACAAAGAATTGAGGTTTTTAATACTAATTAAAATTAGGCTAATTGTAAGTTTCAAAAGGCTACAAAGCTTGTTAAAAACAATTTTTATTAATAAAATAAACTTGGGAAGAATTGTGGCGGATCAATGGAATTGGAAAAAGGGATCTAGTGAGAAATCGATCATTGTAAATACATCAATAAATTAAAATAAATAGATATGAAACA